GGAAAGAAAGAAAGAGAGAGGGAGAGAAAGGGAGAGGAGAGAAAAAAAGAAAAAAGGCAGGTGTTCCCAGCTACGAACAAGCGTCCAGGGACACACCAAAGAAAGAGAGGGGTGATCCTGAGTGTTGCATTCAGGAAAACCCCAGGAAGCAAAGAAAGAAAGGGGGAAGGGAAGGGGGAGAAGGGGGCTAAGGTCCCAACAGGTTGCAATGAACCTCAAAAATACTTTGACCGCTGTGGTCACCTTGTGCCCTGCCGAAGCGGCTGGCTGCTTAGACCGCTGCGGTCACGTAAAGGCATGAGCCAACTTGGAATTCCTAAGATGAGACAAAATAGGAGTTCTGGTGGCATGAGCCAGCTACTGTCCGCTGCGGACACGTACATCTCCGGGCAGGCGAGATAACGACGTACCCCCGTTCAACGGGTCCACGGGAGGCACTCTGCGGGCTCATCCCGGGTTGGCGCGAGGCCAAACACACTTAGGATAGGGTGTACTGAACTGAAAGCGGTGCCACACGCCGGCCTAGGGTTCCATTTCCTAGGAGAACCAGTAAGGACCATCGAATCCTGGAGGTCTTAAAAGGAAAGGAGGCCAAAAGCGTAAGGTCGAAGACGACGAACAGGGCGAAATGACGACGATCGCTCAAGTCTGCAGCAAGTGAGGTTCTGGGCTTAGCCTCGTGCCATTCCGTTTGAAAAAGGCAGGTACGTAGTTCTGGCGTCCCAGAACTATATCGCTGTGCGACAGATGCGTCTTCGTTGGCTGGAGACATCTGAAGCACACTCCAGCCCCCTGCTGCACAAGGAAAACAACTGTGAAGCTAAAACAATCCGAAAGGATCCCTATGATTCCAAGGGTTACACACACACAAGCGCGTGCGCAAAGATCTGGCAATTTGTTGAGTACTTTTTGTGGACTTCGCAACAAGTGCGCCAGGACGATTCTCTGGATGGAATCTCAAGTGCAAACGCCGTTTGCAGCATATGGTCAACGCGGTGCGCTTCATGGCTTTAGCCAAAGATGAGCTCAACGAGAAGCCACAAGCAGAGGACAAGTGTCTGATGGGATTTGATTGCATTTCATGGCCCTGGCCACAGTTTGGTGGATTGTCTGAAACCACTGGGAGGGTTGCAGAAGTTTGCTGACCGGCAAGGGGATTTTCTGAAACGACACCAGCCACATGGCTGGATCGGATCAAAACCAGGAGACCTATATGGACATCCGTTTGGGCCAGGGCTGGTGGGGCCTTTCGTCCGAACTTGTTTTCGGGTGAAACGGGACACCGACGCGAAAGGAACTCGACCTGGGCCGCCTTCGGTCAACCGACGTCGACGGACATCGGTGGCCGCGGCTGTGAAGCCACGGGCGCGGGCAGGAGCAAAAGGCGCTGCAGGAGGCGTTCACGAGCAGCTTGTCCAACATGGCCGAGACCTTTGGTGAGGACGAGGTTTTCTGCGTTTGAAGTGACAAGCAGGCTTCACATGCGCGGAGCAACTTGGTTTTCGGAAGAGAATCAGTACACTTCTCATGTCGTAGAGTGTAGGGTTTGGCAGGGGGGTTGAGGATTTTCAGGTGCCAGTTCTGCAGGATGGCGCCTTGGTTGGGAAGCTGAAAGACAAGATCTTGGATTCGGATGCTTTGAAAGAGAATCCCGAAGGCACTGTGAAGAAAATGGTTGACCTCATCACCAAGCTGACCCAGGGCAGCAAGGCAGAGGTTGGTTTGAAGATGAAACTCTGCAACATCCTAGTACGAAAAAGCCATGATCCAACAAACCTCTATGATTGTATTGGCTACAATCGGCGCCAGTTTCTCTCTTTTTTTGCTAGTAGTGATGGCCTCCCAGCGCTTTGCGCTGCGCCAGGCGGAGCATGATGAAGCCAAGAGCAGCATCGAAGCCACGCAAGCCTTTGAGCCCGACCAACTCGACGAGACAACAACTCCGGACGAGACGTCGGGTGATATGGAGACTCGTCTGCACCAGTGGATTTCTCCCACCCTCTAAATGGGTGTGTATTTCAATAAGGAGACCTCCAACCATGATCTATTTCCCTTCTTTCAGAGGGTTGAACACGGGGTCTCCCTATTTTAGTATATCCCCCAAATAGAGGCTTTGACTCGTGCTAGGGCCTTGGCTTTCTCGAAACCGCCGCTTCTTTGGTGAAACCGCGGAGCAGCGCCCTTAGGTCAGTGAAGAGGAAAAGGACTTGAGCGAAGCTCAAGAAGAGGTCAATGAAGAGCTTCTCGGGTTGGACCCCATCCCTTCCAGCAGTGATGGCACCTCCGCATTGGAGGTGATGTCCTCGGTGGATGGACAGATGATCGCTGCGGTGCTCTTGGCGGTGGTCGCCGTCGGCGCGACGATCGTGATTTCGGCGATTATCTCTCAGGTGGTCTTCGCGGCCTTGATGGCCTACGCCTTCTTGTCGGCCTTTGGCTGCGGTGTCTACTACGCGGGGCGGTATCAGGGCGAAAATAAGCAGATCGAGGCTCCTGAGGAGGCTGAAAAGAAGGAGGACGCCGTTGACAAGAAGGATGGCAAGACTGAGAATCAGACAGGTGAAGGCGGTGAAGTTGCTGAGAAGGGGATGTCCAAGTGGAGTGCCGTCAAAAAGGGCTTGATTTGCACTGGGAGGTACATCATCCTTCCGTTCAAGTTGGTGTGGAAGCTGGGAAAGTGGGTGGTGAAAGGCATTCGCAAGGTGGCCAGCAAGAAAGGCAACAGCACCAAGGCTGAATGAATGCTGCAATGTGAAGAGCGCCAAAACAAGAGCCGCCGGTCCGGATTGTCGCGGCATGGAGTGCGGCCTTTTAGATCAAGGAACACCGTCACGGATCGTCCTGGAAACCAGACGAACTGGGAATCCCGAACTGAACAACTGCTTCATGAGTGCTTCATGTCCCCCCAAAAAATGACCCAACCAGCGATGACACCTCTCCCTCCCAGCTCAGCGGAGGGCGGATCTCAGCGGATGCGGAACATGATGGACGGCTTTTGGCATGGAATAGGGTTAAGCCCAGGACGAAAGAACTGGTGGGTTTAGGGGTGCGTCGCGTGGGTTTTGCAAAGCCCTCCGTGGTGATGTTCCATCAGGTCACTTGACCAAACCCGCCAGTCACGATGGGCTCAAAGGATCAGAATATCCAGCCATTGCGCGCCATCGCAATCAACTGTTGCGTTTCAAATCCAGTGATTCGATGCCTCGACCAAGCACCGGTCATTCAACTGTGCGTGCCAAGGCAGGGTACTCTGACGTAGACATGCTTGGCTTCGTTGAATATCCCAGAGCTTTCTAGGGGGTTCTTCTGAAACATCACCCGCTTGGAGTTCTTAAGAGTAGATCGACTCTGTCCAGCGTTGCCTGTTTGGTCGATTGGGGTGAGTGTTTATATGTTTTTCTTTTTAATGCTGCATATTGTTTTTGAGGGTCAGTGCCAGAGGAATGTGCCCACATGTTGAGGCGTTCTTCATTTTGCTGCTCCTGGGCGGGCATGAAGCCGTCCGCATTCACGAGGATGTCAACTTGACGGCCCTAACCTATCAGAATGAAGACCCTATGTGGGAGAAGGTCTACAGAGATATGAACAAGGCCGAGGGGGGAGTCATTCAAACAACTAAAACAGTTGCAAGTCTCTGCTGCAGTCTAGGGCTAGGGTGATTAAGAAGAGGAACATCCACAATATGGAGCCCAGTCATTTCCCATTGGTTTCCTTCTTTTTATTTGAAAACCAGGTCCTGTCCTGTCGCTAGGGTTTTCACAAGATAGGTTGCGCCCGTGGTGATCCAGGATTGCTATTGGATGCCCAAGCTGGGCTATTGCCACGGTGATGGATGCGTGTGGAAACCCTTGACCTTGGACCATGGATTCAACGACCAGGCATCATGCCGGAAGAGTGATAAATACTTGCTGAAGATGGACCCTCACAACTCCATGCAAATGTTCGCTGGAATCCTCAAAGCAAAGAGCGAGAAGTACGCCAAGAAATGCCAAGGCCAGGGAGTATTTTTTGTTTGCGCGGAACACACTCTGACATTGGTTTTCAGAACTCAATTCCCAAGTGGAAAAAAGACGAGAGAACGGCAAGGTGAAGGAGTCGGCGCAACTGTATTGTTTGAACAATCTGTTGACATGTCTGCGGCGCCGAACATCAGTGCGGCTCAGCTGCAGGAAACGCGGCAAAAGAGCGGTTTACGGGAGGTAGCATGTGAACAACCATGAATCAAACTGTGGAGAAGTAGCGTAACAGCTTGTGAAAACAGTTCAGCAGGTGCACACCGAGACGTCTCTCAGTGCTTCCCGTGCGTCAGGTAGCTTCGTTGGACATGGTCCCTGAACGCGCGCCATGTCCCCCTGCTAATGCAAGTAAACAAAAGGGAAAAGGAACTCTTAGTTACAGAGGTTGACACACACACGACGCCGAATCCGGCGCCCATGTTGCAAGTGGTGACTTTTTTCCTTGGTTTCTTTAAAAAGCGTTCGCAGTCTCTTGCTGCGTGTCCCTGGAGGACGTAGAGACGCACTAGCTCATCGGCCGCTGCAGCTGCGTGTTGTGGTGGGAAAGTGTAGGTGTAAATTGCGTGGAGTCGGGATGCCAGTCCCGACAGGGTGAGTCGTTGGCTGCCTGCGCTTGTTGAGTCCCTGATCTTCCAGGGTTGAGTGGGTTGAATGTAGGTGATTGTGCGTTGGAGAAGGTCGATGTTGAAGCCCAAGAGGTGCATGTCATCCACGGTTTCAAGTTCGACTGGATCGCCGAAAAAGTTGTGGTGGATGAGTGTTTGGATGGCTGGGTGGGAGAGGAAATGTTCGTTGTGTACGATGAAACGATTGTCCACATAACGATAGTAGGTGAAAAGGTCGAAAAATGAAATGAGATAGAAGGTTCGGCATGCAGTGGAACAAATTCGTGAAAAGGTGGTGAATTAGAACCTGTCTGATCGCAAATCGATTGTGTTGGAAAATAGGACTCTGTACACGCTTGAAGGTCAAAGCAAGCTGCAAAAAGTACATAGTCATGCAATCAAATGTTTCTGTCCGTACAAGCCCGGCGGCTGTTGAGGCAGTCGATCCAGTAGTGAAAAGGAAGCGGTTAAGAGAATCCAAGGTTTGGTGGAAAAAGGAAAGCAGTTACAGTTACACGATTTCCGGCGTGAGAACAGCGCCTCCTTGCGGAGGATCACACCCAGCGCCCAAGTGGGACGACTGAGCGACTCACACTCTGACATTGGTTCTCAGTTAATTCAATTCCCAAGTGGAAAAAAGGCGAGAGAACGGCAAGGTGAAGGAGTCGGCGCAACTGTATTGTTTGAACAATCTGTTGACATGTCTGCGGTGGCGAACATCAGCGCGGCTCAGCTGCAGGAAACGCGGCAAAAGAGAGGTTTACGGGAGGTAGCATGTGAACAACCATGAATCAAACTGTGGAGAGGTAGGGTAACAGCTTGTGAAAACAGTTTAGCAGGTACACACCGAGACGTCTCTCAGTGCTTCCGGTGCGTCAGGTAGCTTCGTTGGACATGGTCCTTGAACGCACGCCATGTCCCCCTGCTAACGCAAGTAAAAACAAGATGGAACCCACGAACCCGAATGGAAACACGTTCGAAAAACTACATATGTCCAAAAGACACTCTTGTAGGACACTCTTGTGGGACACTCTTCTGGGACACTCTTGTAGGACACTCTTCTGGGACACTCTGGTAGGACACTCTTGTGGGACACTCTTGTGAGTCACTCTTGTAGGAAACTCTTGTGGGACACTCTTGTAGGACACTCTTGTGGGACACTCTTGTAGGACACTCTTGTGGGACACTC